AAGATCAAAGCGCCCCTGAGAACCCCCCACCCTCCGCGCGATGATGGTGATTACAGCGATGTGGGCGGCGATCAAGTGGGCAAAAACGGGCAGTCGCTCTCAATTCCTCGTTCCCCTAACACGTAATTGTTTTTTCATGCTTTGCGCAATCGAATAAAATTACGTTGTGGTCATCTTCTGAGATGGCTCAAAAGTCCCCCAAATCTACCGCGTTCGAAAGGTCGCGGGGCGGGGCGATAAATCTGGTTCGTTGGCTTCTATCGGGGCCCCATGTGGGGTACGTCGCCGGCGGGCGGGTCGCTGGGCGGGCCGCGAGCGGGGCGCGACGGATCGTAGGACGACGACGAGCAAAAATAACAACACTGACCCCAAATGGAACAAACCCTTATGACGTGGCCAACGAAGCCGCAATTCAGCCGCTCGCGGCGGTCGCGGGGCGTGTCGATAAGATAGCGCCTTGGATTTCTATCGAGGTCTCCTGCGAGGCGGGGCGCGGGCGGGCGGGGCGCTGGGCGGGTCGCGCGTGCATTGCGGCGGGGCGCGGGGCGAGGATCGCGAATACCAGTAACAACAACGACAAAATTAAACACCGCATCACTGAAGCCAGACGCGCACCCAGGGACAGTGTAAAGACGTTCGGCCTCGTCAACCAGATCTCTTATCTCTAGGTTAAGGGTGGTGATGCACGCATAGGAGATGATCTCCAAAAAATAACAGCGGCGCTCCTGAATTTAACCGATCTCACTTAAATAACAAGATATAGGCAACAATAACAAGAAATTTCTCCTAAAAGCTGCTCTTAAATGCTTCGCACCACTTAGATCTAGACTATTCGGCTGCTTCCAGCCGCAGCGGATGGTCGGGGTTGCCAGCAATACCGTTCGGCCAATCACTCTGCTGGTTCGAATTTGGTTTGCGCGCAAGTGCATTGTTACGATGTCAAAGTGGCATGACTGGCAATACTGTCAAAAAACAATGCTTCAAGTGCAAGAAATGCACTGTCTCAGCGAGGGCTTTTCCGACGACATGGTTTCGTGCTTTTGCCGGCTAGATTTTCTGAACGCCGGGCTGAAAACTAAACTGCGGTCCAGAAAACTGAACTGCTGGGAGGTGGTTTTGCACTTGCCGGGCATCTGTGGCACCAAACAGCCCGCTTTCGCTACCAATCCGGCTACTTCCAACACTTCCGGCTAAGAAACAAAACTTCCACCCGATAAACAACATTTGCAGACGCAATCGGATGATCTGGGCCTTCGGGGGCAGCCCGGCGCGGGCCCCCCCGGGCCCCGGGACCCCGGGGCCACCTGCAGGAGATCTTTATGCTTTATGGCGGTTCCGCCGCCCGCCCTGCGGGCCTGCACCAAGTTCCCTCCCTCGACCCAGGGCCTGTACTGCCTCAAGCAAAGGGGGCAGCCGTACTGGTCTGCGCCCTTCATCAGCCAGTCGCAGCTCCTCGAGCATTCTAGGCAGTCGCGGTGCCGGCAGATGAAGTGCTCCGATAGTCCCTCAATGATTTCCGAGGCCCACTGCGCCGCGTGGTCCGACATTTTGTAAGCCCTCACTTCGGGCACGTACTCGGGGCCAGCCACCTTCTTATCCCACTCGGCGTCGAACTCCACGAACGCCTGCTCGTACTGGCGCCGCTGCTCTGGGGGCGCTTGGGAAATCTTGAGGGCGATGTGCCGCGCCACCTTCTGGATGGCGAACAGCGTGGCCTTGCGGCGCTCGGAGCGGGAGGCCTCCGGATAATCCTTGCGGACCGATTGCTCGAGCTCCGACCATTTCTTCACGCGGGCCCGCTTCGCGCCGTCCTCGATGACCCCCTCGAGCTCCGACCAGCGCGCCTAGGAGTCCGAACCCCCATCCTCGCCCAGCCCCGGACCTTCGACCACCCCGCCCCAAACCGAGCAACATTACCCCCTTCGGCGGGTGGCTGATCCACAGGGGGGAACTCTGGCTATATTAATGGCAGACACACCTTGCACGTCTTCCTCCACTCCTTATCCGTGTACTTGCTCTCGTACTCATCTTCTTTCTCGTAGCAATCTTTGCGCGTGACCGGCCGGTGCCCCTGCCAATCGTCACTCCTCAGGTGCTTGACGTACGCCGTGCTTTTGACCAGCGGCTCTTCACACACGTTGCATGAGTACTTGGAAAGCGCCATCGGGCGCCTGGAAGACCAGCCTCGGACGAACCGGCAACTGGCAACCAAAGGCAACACCGAATGGCTTGAGCCAAGATGGCGACGCGGAGGGGCCGGAGCAGGACAAGAGGAAGAGGAGCGGGAGAAGCAGCAGGAGCAGGAGAAGCAGTAGGAGCGGGCCGCCCCCCCCCCAGGCCGGCCGCCCCCCCCCCCAAAGGCCGCCCCCCCCTCCAGAGCCGCCCCCCCCTCAGGCCGCCGCCTCCCCCTCAGCCGCCCCCCCCTCAGGCCGGCCGCCCCCCCCTCAGGCCGGCCCCCCCCCCTCAGCCGGCCACCCCCCCCCCAGAGCCGCCCCCCCCCCCCCCAAAGGCCGCCCCCCCCAGAGGCCGCCCCCCCCCAGGAGAAGCAGTAGGACCAAGCAGGACTTCGCAGGACCCCGCAGGCGAATACCACAGGCTAATGCCCGCTCGGTGGATACCACAGGTACGCGTGCATCAACATCTGACATCCTGCCCCTCCCCCCCATCCCTTCCCATAGCTCTACTTCATTGTCCTCGCACCGAATCGGGTGCCGCATCTGTCCCTCGTACCTGAGAGGAAGAGGAGGAGGAGGAGGAGGAGGAGGAGGAGGAGGAGGAGGAGGCACGACGACGACGCTGTCGAAGACGACGACGAGTTTTTGAAGGTTTGATGTTAAAATGTTAAAATTCTTATGTGTTTTGGACCTCTCCTTCACGATCTGCGTGAGGGGTGCCACCAGTTTTCAAAATCTCGAGGGTATCCCTAGCGAAACGGCCAAAACAATTATGCTAACTGGGTTCCCCACTTAGGGATGTTACAGGGCTCACGGGTTCAACGGGGCACGGAACCTGATAAATAGTATGGTATGCCGATACCTTGCTCGCTCAGGCGGGGCCTCCCTGGAGGGGTGGGAGGGGCACGGAACCTGATAAGTACCATGGAATGCCGATACCCTGCTCGCTGAGGCGGGGCCTCCCTGGAGCGGTCTGCTATGGTATGGTGGGTATGGTATTGTATGGTATGTTTGGTATGGTATTGTATAATTTGTGTGGTATGGCATTGTATGGTATGGTAGGCATGGTATTGTATGGTAGGTATGGTATGGTATTATATGGTAGGTATGGTACGGCCAGAAAAATCAAAGACGGACGGACGCAAGCATTAACCCCCTCTGGGCTCTGCTCCCTCGGAGAGGTGCGTATGAGAATGTGCGTGTATTCTTCCCTCCTCCCAGCAGCTCTCCTGGGCATCGTTTCTGGATGGGCTGGTGGGGATGCGCGAAGCGTCAACAATTGACCAGTGCGATTGCACCACTTGGGTCACTTGGGTCAGTTGCACCACTTGGACCAATTGGGTTCTTCGCTTGCCGCCCCCCCCCTGGCCGCCTCCCCCCGGGCCGCCCCGCCCCGGAAGCCGCCGCCCTCCCCCGGCCGCCGCCCCCCCCCCCCCCCCCAAAAAGCCGCCGCCGCCCCCTCAGAAGCCGCCCCCCCACCCAGCCCCCCCCCCAAGAGTAGTAGGACCCGGCAGGACTTCGCAGGACCTCGCGGAACTCCCCAGGACCTGGCAGGGCCCCCGAAGATCTCGTAGGGCCAGGCGAATACCACAGACGATTACCACAGGCTAATTATCCGGAGGCTTTACCGCAGGCGATTACCACAGGCTAGCACCGCAGGCGAATACCACAAGCGAATACCACAGGCCTGCAGGCGAATACCTGCAGGCCCGCAAGCGAATACCACAGGCGATTACCACAGGCTAATTATCCGGAGGCTTTACCACGGGCGATTACCACAGGCTAGCACCGCAGGCGAATACCACAGGCGAATACCACAGGCCTGCAGGCGAATACCTGCAGGCCCGCAAGCGAATACCACAGGCGATTACCACAGGCGAATACCACAGGCTAGCACCGCATGCGAATACCACAGGCGATTACCAGGCTCGTGGGCTAACACCGCAGGCTTGGCGAATACCCCAGAGTAATGCGGCAGGCGAGCCCCAGTGGCGAATGCCACAGGCTAACTACCGATCGGCGGAGCCAAGCCCGTAGACGAATACCGCGGGCGAGTGCCACAGGCGAATTCCCGCTCGGCGGAAACCACAGCAGAACACCGCAGGCGAATACCACAGGCTAGCACCGCAGGCGAATGCCACAGGCGAATACCACAGGCCTGCAGGCGAATACCTGCGGGCCCGCAAGCCAATACCACAGGCGATTACCACAGGCTAATTCTCCGGAGGCAAGCTCGTAGACGAATACCACAGACTAAAGCCGCCAGTTACTGACTGTTCGGCGGAACGAGGCACGCAGGCTCGTACCACAGGCTCGGCTCATACAACGGGCCTGGCTAATACCGCTGGCTAATACGCGGACTGCGAACGCAGGCCAGCGGGCTGATACTGCAGCCCAGGTGGGGCCAGACCGGGCGCGCTTGTACCGCTTGGGTCAGTTGGGTCAGCTGCACCACTTGGGCCAATTGGGTTAGTTGACCGACCCAGTGCGATTGCACCACTTGGGTCAGTTGGGTCAGTTGCTCCACTTGGGCCAATTGACTTACTTGGCCCAGTGCGATTGCACCACTTGGGTCACTTGGGCAACTCACCCAACTGACCCAAGTGGTGCAATCGATTATCGCAGGCCGCCGCTCTTATGACGCAACTGACCCAACTGACCCAACTGACCCCAAGTGGTGCAATCAATTAACTTCCGTCATTTCCGCCCACAGAGTAAGGTCGCGGGCAGGCCCGTGTCGGATATCGACGGCAAACACAGGTATACGTCGGAGGCCAGGGGTCGAGCGCCAGGCGGATGACCAGCGAGCCTGGCCGGCAAAAAGTTCTAGTGCAAACCCTTCCTCTGGCGCAACAAGCAGGCTCGGGATGGTGCGAGGATCACGAACGACAGTCGCTCGGCACACTCCGCGGCGGCCTGCCGCACGGGAACGTCGAGGCGCTGCAGCAGCTCGTTCAGGCGGCCGGCCTTGACGCACCGGTGGAGGAAAGCGTCTGACTGCCACAGGCCGCGCTTCTTCACTCCGGTCGTGCCGTGGCCGCCGCCGAGAGTCTCGCGGCTGGCGCCATTGTGTCTGAGCTGATACAGGGGGAGCGGCGCCTGCGCGGACAGCGGCGGCGCGATCACGGTCTGCTGGGGCAGGCCTCGGCGCTTGATCACCTTGGGGGCCTGGATGACCCAGGCAATCTCGACGCTGTCGCGCAGGAGGCTCTCGTTGAACACGGCAGTTATGCTCGGCACTTCGCCCTCGAGAGGGTTGATCAGGAGGTCCCACTTCTGCAGGGCGGCCGGGTCGCCGCGGGGCGGCGCGATGAGGTCCCGGCAGCGGATCCTCAGCAGCTCCGAGGGGCGGCAGTGGAACACGAAGCTCAGGGGCGTCATCGGGGCCGCCTCGGTCGGGCCCAGGGTCAGCAGCTCGGTGAAGATCAGCGCCACCATCGACCACGGCCAGGGAGGTCGCGTCCGGGGCGACGTGAGCTTCCCGAAGCCCGCCGGGGCCCAGCGGGCCCGAGGGAGCTCCGGGGTCCGCCGAGTCACACGAGGAGTGTAGACCATGAGCGCTGCAAGCAGCGCCGCCACGAGGTCTACCACCTCGCCGTGGAAGAGGAGGTCGTGGATGGATGCTCGGGCTCGTGCGGAGCTTGCCACCAGCGCGGCCCCCTCCGACGGGGCCGAGACAGCAGCCGGCCGGCTCCACACCACAAGGACGCCCGTCCTGGCTGTCCGAGTCCACGTCGCCAGAGGGGCCGAAGCCGTCGAAGGCGTCCCCGAGGGCGCGACCGGCGGAGCGGACGCGACGCTCGCGGGCGGCGCAAGCAGCCGCGCTCCAGGTCACAGGAGCATCCGCGCGCCGCGGCGGAGCAGGGACCAGGGCCTCGAGCCCGGGCGGAGGCTCAGGCAGGCGAGTGCTGGCCGGCGCTCGAGCCAGGCGCACGTTGCGGGACGGGGGGTCGCTGGCGCTGTGCTCAGACGGGACCCAACGCCATGTGGTAGGAGAAGGACGCGAGGGCCAGCGCGGCGTGCTGCCGGCAGATCCGCATCATCCCCCTGGCCGAGGATCGCCCCTTCGTGATCGCCAGAATAGGCGCCATAGAATCCCCCAGATGAAGGTGCCGCCGACCAAACGAGGCTAACGAACGGGTGCATCGCTTGGTAAACCAGACCATAGCCCGACCTTCAAGGCCAACCTGAGGCTCGGAGCGGGCCCATGACCGGGAGGTCACGAGGCGCCACTCCCCGCCCCAGACCGAGGGCGGGATCGGGGGGAAGACATCAGAAGACGAATCCGGCATGGGCGACGAGCCCAACGGGCGCCCCGCGGAAGGACCCCCAGAGCAGTCAGGAGCAGCCTCATCGGAGCGAGTGCCACAGAGCGTGAGCGGCCCCCTCGAGGGCCAGCCGCCAGGCTGAGGCGGATCCGGCCGCGGCGACGAGACAGGAGGCGCGTGGTAGCCCCCGAGGCGGGCGGCCATCAAGGCGGAATCCTGGGGACACCAACCCCTTTCTTCATCCCGTGTGAACCTCCAGCGTTCGTTGAGCTTGCCAAGGTCCGCGACGACGCGGGGGTCCAAGTCCTGGATACAAGCTCCCATACCAACTAGAAGCGTCAACGACAGAAACCTCGGAGGCCCACGGAGCAGACAGGTCACGCGAGGCGACGATGAGGTGGCTGGCCCACGTGAACACTCTTTTCACCGAGGGCCAGAGTGGCACCGCAGAATCACCCGCATGCTCTATAAACGAGTAGGCGGCATTGAACACGCACAAGAGTTCGCGCCTAACCAGGGCACGGGTGGTAAAGTGGGACACGAGGATCTCGACAATCTTTCCCGAAGCGCACGTCCGACGAGCGAACTCCTGGAACCCCAGACGAAGCTTCCAGCAGGTAGCAGGGTTGACTCCGACCTCGGCCGAGTCATCCGAGAAAGTCCACCCCAGGGTCGCCCCTCCCCTCGTGTCCTCCACCGGGTGCACAGGCAGACGGGCACGCGTGAGCTCTGAGGAGACGGCGCGGGCAGCATCTCCGGAGGCCCGCTGACACTGACTGAGAGCGATAAAATTATCGACGTACTCTGTGTGGATCAGCGGCGTCAGAGGCGGGGCAGGGCGTCCGTCGAACAGGGCATTCGCCTCCTCGATGCCCGGGGCCCGCCTCGAGAGGATCTCCAGGGCACGCTGCATTAGCCACAATGAGAGCTTCCAACCCATAGGGATCGCGGTGAAGAGGGGGACGATGTAGGTGTTGGGGGTCACCAGGGCCCCCTTCACATCAGATGCTCCAACCTGTCCAGCACGGATCCTGGGAAGACCGAAGAACTCCTGGAGACCCTCAGGCAGGGCGACGTTGTAAAATGCGTTGGCCACATCGACGCCGCCGACACAGATGGGATCCTTAGAGTCAACAGATATGGATGCGAACGAGGACCCACTTGCCAAGTGCACGGCATCGGAGTCGTCGAACCAGCAGCTCGAGATACGACCGTCAATAATGACTCGAAGCTTCCCTGACTTTTTGTAAACGGCGAAGATCCCAACCGTCGCTTTGCATTCTAACCCCCGCACCACCAGGCCGGCCTCTCGGAGCCGCTTTAGGACCGAGGCATACAAACGGGGGAGAACGTCGGAGAGCAGGGTCAGTATACGGCCTAGAGAGGCCATCACGGGCCATCTTTTCGCGCGCAAGGCGCTCAGGAAAAATCTTGCTATCTAGCTTTTCGACCAAGGTTTCGCCCTCGGGACCAAGCAAGGCACCTAGAGGCTTAGGGAAGCTACCAGGGGACGGGAGGTCCAAGAGGCAGACGTTGTCTGGGCCGAGCGGCGCCAGGGTGGCCGGCTCACCACCGTATGAGCGCCGGGCGCAGAGCTCACTAAGTGCTCCCGCGCCAGAGAGCCCTGGGGGGGGGTCCTAAGCGATCCACAGCACGGCGAATGAGACGACACTCCTCGAGCTGAGCCGCACTGGGAGAGCATGACGCCCCCTTAGGGGGCCCTCCTGTGAAAAATTGATTCAAACTCGAGACAACCGACTCCGCAAAACGAGCTGAGTGGGCCTGACGGAGGTGGCGGCGCCGAGTCGGCCGAGAAAAAACTGACGAGGCGGGGCCCGGCTCACGCAAGCAGGAGAAAGGAAGAGGAAGGAGGTCGCGCTGCCGATCAGCACAGGCATCACTCAGCATGGCGCCCTCAAGGGATGGCCGCGTCTCGCCGCGGTGGGCGGCCTCTCGATCTGGCACCAGGCTAGAGGCTTCACCTGGGCCGTGCTGCACCGTCATTGCTTCTTGAGGAGCGCTGCGCGCTCCTCCTTGGCTTTCCGAACTTGCTTCAAAATCGCGGCATCCTTTTCGACCTCGCGAGCCACGTGATCCAGCAGAGCCGGACATACCATGGCCGAACCCGTGTCCTTGTTGAGGCCGGAGAAGATGGCTGCCTCGTCCATGAGGCCGACGAAGGTCACTGTCGAGGCGTTGGGCTTCTTGTCCTTCCCCGCTTTCTCGGCGGCCCCCATGGAGTCCATCCAATAGACGTACTCTGAGAGCTGAGCCTTGCGCAGGAGCGACTCGATGCCCGCCAGATCACAGATGTTCACCCCGTCGTAGACGGCCGCCTCCTCCAGCACGCGCAACGCGGCGCCGTGGATCTCGACCCCCCACGAGTCTGGCTTCAGCCCGAACACGCTCACGAACTGCCGATGGTGCGCCACGGGTGTAGACGACCGCCTGTCGAGCCACTCCGCACGCCACTTCACCGTGCGGGGCCCTGGTACCGTCCACGAGGGGTAGGCGATCTCCTCGAGCTCCTTGCACACGTCGCTCCAGCCGCGACGAGGCCGGGCCAAGACGTAGGCCGAGCCGCTCAGGATGCGAGGGTCCCGCACCGCCTCCAGGGCTGCGAACTCGGCCGCGTCCATGGACTGGATGTACCTGACCACGACACTGAGTCCGCCGGGCGCCTGCATGATGGCGAGGTCGCCGTGCGCGATAGCGTTCGCCGGGAGCGCGACAGGACCGCCACGCTTGGCGAAGGTCGTGCTCTCCACCGCTACCCACTGGGCGGCAGCCACGCCGGCGACACCCGCCGCGGGTGCCAGAGGCGCCGCGCCGGCGGCAGCCGCGATCTGGTCGCGGGGCGCGGCGCCAGCCGCCGCGGGCGCGCCAGCGGGGCCGCCTCCCGCGGCGAAGGGCACCAAGCACCCGGCAGCAGGGGCCGCGAAGACCCGCCCGGCCGCGGCCGCCTCGGCTGCGAGCACCGCCGCCGCGTAGGCCTCGCCCGCCGTCTCAAAGGCGGTCTCCTCCGCAGCTGTCGGGGCCCGCCTGAAGCGGTAGCTGTCAGCGGCCGCGATGCCAGGAGGCCGACCTCGGTCTGCGCAAAATCGGACCGCGGCGATGTCAGCGGACTGGCCCGAGTAGTCCTCATCGTACACGTCGCCGTCTGGAGTACATATCACGAGCCTCAAAGGTTCAATCGGATTCAGTGCCCGTGACCGCAAGTGACCCAACACCAGACGCTGATGCCAGAGCCGGTCGCCGGCGTAGAGTACCCATGCCCATCGATCCGGCTGCGGCGCCGCCATCGGGTTCAGGGGCCTTGCGGCGCGGCGTCACGATCTGGACGAGGCTGCGGGCGGCACAGCTGCTCAGGCTGCCGAGCACGAAGCTGCACACGACGGCCAGGGCCACCCGCCACAAGCTGATCGGCATCAGGGCGCTCTCAGCAGCTCGGGGAGCCTCGCTCACAAGGCGCTCGGCCTGCACCGGAGCCGGGGCACCCGGACAGGCCGGGCACGCCGCGCACGCGGCACACGCGCGAGTCGCCGGGCAGCTCGGACAAGCCGGGCACGGCGGCGCCGATGGGCAGCGGGAAAGGTAGGATACAGTGATCTGAGAAGCGTATCCGAGATAGGGGGAGAGCGCTGCGAGCATGGGCGCGGGCCTGTTCAAGCTTGAGCACAGACATTTAAGGAGACGGCCCTCCCTGACATCTCGAGGCAGACAAACCACATGTAAACAAAGGACTATTTGTATTTTGTGTGTTGCTATTGATGTCCTTTGTATTATGTTTGCCTCCCAGAAGCATTTCGGACCGCGCTTGGAAAATCTTGGGAACTACCTGGGCAATCTTGCGGACCCCTTCGGGCCATCTTAAATGGTTCGTCAGCCCTCCTGGCAAGGTCTGGAGATTTCTTCCGCCCTCCTGGAGGCGTCGCGGGCCGAGGGGCCTGGCCTGGAAGGCCTCCAAAAAAGAGCGGGCCAGAGGGCGCGCGGTGGCCCAGAAGCGGGCAGCGCTTCAAGGGGGGGCAACTTTTCATGTAGTCCCAGGGGCGGCCGGGGGGCCCAGCACTCCGACATTGCATATACCCACATCGCCGTGCGCCTAGCCATTAAATTGTCGGATCGCCCTTCCTTGAATCGGACATCTGTTGTTGCATCTGCTGCATCGTGGTCATCATGACGTCAAGCCTTCCTCCCTGAGCGACCTGTGCTTGCTGGATTTCGCGCGCTGCCTCTTCGAGCTTGTCGAGGCGTGATGTAATGTACCGCCCCATGCCATCAATACGCTCGTTTGTACTGTCACGGGCACCTGGCTGGATATCCTTCACAACCTCTTCGAGCTTGTCAATGCGTGATATAATGTACCGTCCCATGCCATCAAGACGCCCTGAAGTGCGTACATGGGCGTGAGCATGCGTGATGCGCAAATCTACAACCGTCACGAGAGTGAGTGTTTTCTGCAACATCAAAATCTGTACGAATTCGATTCACCTTTGTTCTCACTGCTTCATGCGTCAGGTATTTGCCAAACTTGTTGTTTTGATTGTACTCTTTTATTAAATCCCACGCGCGTGTGCCCAGCGCGACGAAGTTTTGAACCAGAAGCCGCAGCTCATCCTGACGCGCGCTCTCTGCACGCGCGACCTCGCTGGAGGCGAGCCTGCGCAGTGCCGAATGTACTTGAGCGTATGAACTGCGCGCGTCCTGCAAATCCAAGTCTGGATTTCCTTGAACGATCTTGCGAAGTTCCTCGACCACACATGAAGCCAATAACAAATAACCTCACATAACCAATGAAAGCTGCATGACCTGCAGCCGCGATTGACCTTGCATCAACTCTTTTTGGCCTTTCATCAATTTTATTTGGGCATTTTTTCCTGTCGCACGCCTGTTGCGGCGCTGGTAAAGAGATTGCCCAGCCCAAGCCGTCCAACATTGGAAGAGATACCATCAACTGACTCAGATATGCGAGGCGCGTATTCTAGGGTTGTTTTAGAACTAACCTGTACTAACTCTTGGAACGTACGCCTGGCTTCAGCCGCCTCCTTAGCATACGGCATTCTGCTTTCAAGACGATCGATGAGTACAGTTATCCCTCGACTGAGGACCACAAACGCGATGCGATCCACAACCCTACATGTTCTGTCGTTTCGACAACGGTTTGGCGCACCATCGAGGAAGCCGCAAAATGGGGAAGATTGCCGGCAAGGCTTAGGTGGCAGTGGTGTCCGCGACTGGATTGGAATAGCGCGGCGGCATGCCCACGTCGTCGACGAACAGCTTGTCAATGTTATGGCGACTGGCAAACTCAAGAATATAAGAAAAGCACCTCGAGCTTTGGCCATGCGACTTTCCTTTTTCGTCATGAAACTACAAATGGGCAAATGGGTCACATGTGATGCGCCTTGGTGACCTTGAGCAAACATAGCTCCGGGGCCCTTCCTGGGCACTTCTTGAAATCGCAAAATCTCATCGGAAGCGAAAGGGCGAGAAGAAACTCACTCAACACATACAACTTGTTGAAGCATGTTGGCCTCCCGGGGGCGTCCTTAGGAGGCTCCGTGGCCAACTCGGGCCGTCTTGCGGCGGCATGGGGGCCTCTCGGAAGCACGGTGGAAACCATCTTGGACCAGCTTGCGACATCCTGGCCATTTCATCGCACTTTGAATTGCCTCTGCCACAACGGAATCCAAAGGGTTCCATAAAACCACGCAAGCACTTCGCGCGCTTAGGTTCTAGGCGCGCCAAAGCTGATGACAAGGTCAAAGCCCAAACATGACATGATCTATGGAGCCCCAAAGTGTTTGCAGCAGCGACATTATTTTCCCAGAAGTCCTCGACGTGCTATCCTAGCAAGTCGACGTCCTCTGGCCTCACACATAGCAATGCAAGCGCTTCGGCCTAGTAAATGGGTGCGCAGTTCTAAGATACTGCGTTGTAATGTGATGGAATTGAATGGAGGCCGCGTGAAACCTCATGTATGTTTGCATATATGTATATGTGCATATACATGTACTCACTCACTCACTCATGCCATACGCCCGAGCGCGTGGGCGAAAGAAGACATGACAAAGCCAGCCGATTCTCAACGCTTTGCGGGAACGGCGGCACTACAGCGGTCGCATAAAACACAACGCGCGCGGCAGCAGGAGGAGGAGCCAGAGGAAAGAGGGAAGACAAACGGCCGGCGAATGATACGGACTTCGCTTGGAACGTATCCGGCCGAAGGCTGCAGAAAGGACGCCAAGGCACCGGGCATCGCATGCAAGGTATGTACAAGCTACATAATGCTACTGGCGATCGGGTTCATCATCATGGTGTGCAATGTGTTCAGAAATACTTCGCCATTCGATGGGGTCCTGCAGGCGCTGCGCCCAAGTATGTTCCGGGACAAGATGAGCAACCAAAGCCTTGTGTAGGCATTTCGCCCATTCGTGTTTGGGCCTGCCTCTCCTCCTCGGGCATGCATCCACGGCTGAAAGAACAGTGCTGGGCTGAGAAGTAAGTTGCCGAAGAATGTCTGCGTCTGGAGCCCGGCCAACTCTGCCAAATAATAATATTTGCTGTTGAAGAAGTTGCGCGCTGCACTGCTTTTGGCCAGCTTGTTTCAGAACTTTGCTATTCGGTACTCGCGCAATAAAGGCGGGAGGTATATGTAGTATTCGTCGCAAGTATCTTGCTTGAAATCCATCCATCCTTCGCCTTTCTGCTTTGTTTAACCGCGCCGCGTCTAGTGAGTGCATGATTTTGGATGGGGCCAGTGCTTGGAATAGATCCAATTTTCGTTGGTTGCTCAAATCAGCGTGTTTCCATGCTCTGTTATACTTGGAAAACTCGGCCCAAGCTGCCCCTATTCTTTTGTTTAGCTCGGTACCCAACTGCCCATTATTGTACAAAATAGCACCCATATATGTCATGCTTCGTTTTTCGGCAATGAGTTGCCCCGCCGGCGTCCTCATCGCCACGTCGCTGTTTATCTTGATCATCTGGAATTTGTCCCAGCGCAGCTCCATTCCAACCCGCGCCCCCGCCAAACCGATGTTGCCGATTAGCAGCGCGTCGTCGGCATACAGCAGCACCGAAAGACTTCCAGAAACCATCTCGAAATTGTCATTGTCGCTCAGGTTGTTCACGGCGTCTCGCAGGACCACAGTCATCAACGTGACGGGAAAAAAAGCGACAACGGACACCCCTGTGAAATTCCAGACCTTTGTTTTCTTTCAGAAGATTTGATGGCCCCGTCGGCTACGCAAAATCGCCTGGCCTCATCCGTATTCCCAATCAGCGTGAGCATGTTCAGAGGTACCCCAAAGCGGCCCAGAGCTGTCAACAATGCTTCGACGTTTATGGAATCAAATGCTTTTCCAGTCCAGGGCAATAAATGTAGTCCCACCATCTTTCCTGGCGTGCGCGAGCTCGATATGACGGCGTACTGCGTGAACGGCGTCTGTTGTACCACGCCCGCGGCGGAACCCGCATTGAGTTTGGGTCAGCCGGTCTTCTGCCCCTGCCTGCTGTAGACGTTGTAGTAGGAGGTTGGCCAAGAGTTTGTACGCCACGCATTGGTGAAACAGCGACTTGCTGGGTGAGGTGGGATAAGGCGATTCAGTTTGGTACCCGAAATGGTGGTGTGGTTTCAGCATGGTCCCCAACCTTGGAGGTGTACTAAGTTCCAAGGGGGGCCGTTCGCACGTGGCCTCGGCCTAACGCACTAGGGGCGCAAGCCAACACCGTGAGTGCGCATGCGAGTTTCGGTCATTCGCCAAAGGCGAACCCGAACGGTCGCAATGTGCCAGGTAAGTCAGACGATGCAAGCGACCGCGTATATTGGGCATTGTTTGCGGCACGCGGTCTGGAGATCCCAGCCGCGCGCTACCCCTCATTGCAAGGTTTTGAAAGGTGTCGGCACGCAGTGCCATTAATGGGATGTGCCAGGGTGTCGAGCCAACAAATCCTTCTCCTCCGTCTCCCTCCTCCTCCTCTCGCTACTCCTGTCCCCTTTCCTACTCGTTCGTCCATCGTTCGCCCTCCTCCCCCTCTCGCTCCTCGCCCCCCTCCCTCTCCCCCCCCATGCTCCTTCCTCCTCCTTACTCGTTCTGTGTATCTCCTCTCCTCCCCCATGCCCCTCTCCTCCCCTCCCTCTCCCCCCATGCCCCCCCCATGTCGCTGTAGGTTTCTCCCTCCTCTCCTCCCCTCCCCTTTCCTCTCCTCCCCTCTCCACTCCTCTCCTCCCCTCTCCTCCCCTCTCCTCTCCTCTCCTCTCCTCCCCCCTCCTCCCCTCTCCCCTCTCCTCTCCTCTCCTCTCCTCTCCTCTT